ATAAAAAGAAATATGTGAATAGATTTTTGTATGACATGAGTTTAGATTCCAGGTCCAGTGGGGACTGCAGGTAAGTCGCAATGGAAAATAAAATCAAGTAATTAAAAAACATAAATATTAATACTGGGCAAAAATTACAATTTTTTATCGCGATTAATCGCATGATTTTCTGCGATTAACTGCGATTAACCACATTGTTATGCACAAAATTCAATAATGAATTCAAAAGTAGTGTATTGCGCACTTTTATTTTGAAAGTACTGCTATATGAACAAAAGTGCAAAAACATTTGGTTTGTAAACACTTTAAACACATCAGGTGCTTTTTAACAGCAGTATTCCCTTTACACAGTAGCAGTTAAAATATTTCTTGTAAATCTCAACTTAAACATTATTGTAATCAAATCAAATATAAAACCAAAGCTATTTGCCACTGCCAGGGCATTAACACTTTATCTAGTTTGTTATAGAAAAACAAGTTACCCTCAGAGTCCAGGGCCACGATCATAACATTATAACAGGCAACAGCAAGTTAACATTTATAAATCTGTTTTCTTTTTTTTTCTGAACAGGTACCAGCAGAAACATTTTTCTTTTATCATGGTTAGGGTTAGACAGTCTATGTTCAGTAGCAGGTGTGTTAGAGTGAGGTGAAGTGGTCGAGCACAAACAAAAGTACACAGCTGGGATACACTGTGCAGGGGACTTTTTAGTCTGTGAAGTCCAAAGAAAACACTTTCAGTGATGCAGGTTGGGTAGTTACACAATGACTAAATGAACTGCATTCATCCATTCCTCCCACCCCAAATGCTCTCATTGGTTGAGACGAGTGATGACGCCCAACCCAAGCCAATACTGATCAACATCCCACCCCTCCTGTGACCCATGGTTTGTCTGTCCGTGTATTCAGAGCCAGTGAACAACGGACTTTCAAAATAATAATAATAATAATAAATAAAAAACTGCATTACATAACTGCGTTAATTAATTATTGGGTTAATGCGATAATAACGCGTTAATAACGCGTTAACTTGCCCAGCCCTATTAAATACCAATATATATATACACACATTTGTACAAACACTTAACAGAACACAGGTATCCATGTTTGACACATTTTAGTCATAAGTATGTCTATTTTCAAGTATGTCTTTTTGGCAGCTGTCGAGGCATAGTTTGCTTATCTGTGATCAAATTTAATAAAATACATTTTCTTCCACAGAAGAACAGATTTTGAAAGCGCTTCCGTTTTAAGATTTTAAAGAGTTTTAGGGCTCCCTACCTGCTCTGCACGCTGGGTCTGTTCGTGGTTCTCCAGGAAGGTTCCCACTAGAGCTGTTCCAACAATGGTCAGACCTTTGCCTGCCTTCAGCTGGTTGGTCAGAGAGAGCAGACGAGGCTGTTCCACGTTTTGCTCTGCATCTGTACTAACTAGCGTCAACAGCTGGGGCCTGAAGAGAGGGGAGAGAAAGTGAAAACACCAGGCAGAAAAAAGTCGAGGGAAAGAAATGCAGAAAAGGGAGAGCAACGAAGAATCAAATAGATGCGTGGGGAAAGAAATGGCAGGGTGGGACAAGTATAAGTCCTAGTTGGGAAGGAGAGAGAGAAAAACAGCATGGAAGGTTGATGCGTTAATATGAGTTCACAAACACTTCTCAATGTTTGACAGCTTTGATGAGGAGAGTCACATTAAGGGAGAGACTCGTTGTTCATTTCTATGTTAATTAGAACCAGGATAAAACATCACAATGTGTGACTTTGTGTTGGTGCGTTATACCTCCAGTTCTTGGTGTGCGGTGGACCTTCTTCCAGCCGCATGAGAGCGTAACGTGCCGCGCTCAGAGACAGACCTCGTATCCCATCTCCCCACTCTTTCTCCGCACTGTGACACAAACAAGCGCCAATCAATATTCCTCAATCAGAACATGAACAAAAGTTCAGCAGCTTCGTTCTAAATATAAAACCTGACAGTGATACAGTCGACTTCTAGACGACAGTTTAACATAATGCAGTGTGATTAAGGATTAGGCACCACTGTTAAATGTCAAGTTAACATGATGTCACTCACCACAGGGAATTATAGCGCTTAAATACTCAGTGCGCATTGCTTGGTACAACTCCATCATAAGCATGGATGGATTACTGAGAGGGCACAGGCCACTATTTTAAGACAGAATCATCATCTCATGCTTTCTTTGCTGGCCTCCTATGTGCACTTGTGTTTAGTATAATATATGGTTCAGTGAGGATCTACTGTGGCAGGAAGCTTTAGACACGAGTCCGACAGCCACTCTATCTCCAGTGTGAACTAAATACTGAAGTTCAGGTGCCGTTTCTGAACCAACGGCAGCACCTTACAGGTCTGCTTCACCTGGAAAATGTCATTGAAATAGACGCAAAGTAATTACAGACAACACAGCTACTGTATAGTTTTTAAATATTTACATACATCGTTTGTAATTACTTTGTGTCTCTTTGAGTCTGGGGGATTTGCTCTGATGTAGGAGGGGTGAGGGGGCGTTTCATGTGCCTAGTTGTCTAATAATCCATCCATAATGATAAGGAGGAGATTATGTGTAACACATGGTATTTACATGTTTCCTACAGTATAATAAGTGTTTTGCAAGGACATCAGCACTCTCACATGAGGAACAGGAGCCAAAACAAACAGAAGTACTAAAACCCAAAACACCAATTTCCCTTTAAACCCCTAAACAAAAAAATATTGATGGTGTGGATTTAGAAGCTCTCAAAATACAGCACACAGACTCACACTCTCTCACACACACACACACACACACACACACACACACACACACACACACAC